CAAGCTGAAGCCAGGAGCCAGGAGGGGCCCGAGTACTTGAGCCATAGTCCACTGCCTTTCCAGGTGCATTAGCAGGAAGTTGGATCAGAAAGTGACAAGACAAGTCTTGAACTGGCACTCCAATATGGGATGCCAGTGTCTCTAGCAGTGGCTTAACTTGCTGTATCCTGATACCAGCTCCTTCATGGGTAATTTAACATCTTCTAGTAGTCACATTAAAAACTTGAAAATAAGCCAGTAAAATTGATATAAATAACACATTTAACCCAATTTACCCCAAATATTATCATTTCATCATGCCATCAATATAAAAATTAGAATAATTTACATTCTTCTCATATTAAGTCTTTGAAATTTGGCACATGAATCACATATATAACAAGTCTCAATTAGGATGTGCCAGGTTTCAAGTGCTCAATTCACATGGGGCTGGCTAGCAACCACTCTATTGGACAGTATAGCTCTATAACTTCACAGTTGAACAGTAAAACTGCATAGGCCTGTGACCTTAACATAGGTAATAATTACTCCTGCATATCATAAAATAGGTCACTATAATTTCCTTAGTGTTTGTCCCACTACACTTGTTTTCTTCTTTGAATCATCCCATAATTTACATGTTACAATGAATCACTTTTGTACTCCCACATTATTATAGACTCACAAGTGACCACTTGTTTAAATTCACAAATATTTATTTATTTTGTTACTGTTCTGTGTAGTCCACTCAACTCTGTGCTAAAGGGACTGTAGAGAAAAGATATGAAATGGTTCTTGGCTCTCAAAGAGCTTGCAGCCCAATGGGGAGGGTAAAAAAAGCAAACAAGTAACTACAATCAAGGTCCAAATTGTCTTCAGAGATACATAAAGCATCTGAAACTATGGAGGAAGGAGACAAAGATAACTTCTGACTTTAGGGAAGGATTACAACAAATAAATAGTTCCTGGAGAAAGGCTATCTGCCAGTCCTACTTCACTTCTGCACAAGGCCCATCACTGGCTCTTCATTGTTCTGGTAAAGGCCAAACAACATACAATGGACAGCTTGCAACCTCCTAGGCATCTACCTTATTTCTTACCCTTGTAGCTTTTTACACCTCTGTTCTAGGCATGTGGTTTTCTGTTCCTGCTTAGATTGTTAGCCCCCTTTTCTCCCTTTTACCAAAATGCTTCATTTAGTTAAGCACCAGCTTTCCTAACTCCACTGTCACTGGTCCCCTCTCTCTACTTCTTAGTAACTTCCAACATGGGACCATCAATGAATTTATGGACCCATCATTCTTCATCTGTAATTAGATGAACACTTCTCAAACTTTAGGTATCTTCACACTTGGAGAAGTCAATAAAATCCATGTAGCATGGCCCATCTCAGAGTTTCTGATTTAGTAGCTACAGGGTTGGGTCTAGAATTTGTTTTTTCAACAGGTTCCTAGGTACCGTTGAACCTGAAGCACATTTTAAGAAACACCAGTGTACACGGTATGAAGGGGAAAGGCTTTATCTTGGGTATAGAGCATGACTCCTGAATTTTTTGAAAAAGATTTATTTATTTATTTATTTGAAAGAGCAAAAGAGAGAGAGAGAGAGAAACTGTCATTTGCTGGTTCACACTCCAGATGGCCACAACATCTGGGGCTGGGCCAGGCCAAAGCCAGGAGTCAGGAGGTTCTTTGTAGTCTACCAAGTGAGTGTCAGAGGCCTAAGTACTTGGGCCATCTTCTGCTTTTCCCAGGCCATTAGCAGAGAGTTGGATTGGAAGTGGAACAACAGGGATTGAACTGGCAACCAAACAGGTGCTGCAGGTGGCGGTTTAACTTGCTATGCTACAACACTGTCTCCATGACTCCTGAACTGAAGTGGCACCCAAAAATGTCTATGAGAAGTGGGAATGAGTTTAAAACACTCATAAATCAAGTACTTATTTTAGGGCTACTAATAAAGATCTGACGTATGCTTACTGTGATAATCTCCTCCAGGAAAACCATTTGATTAAATCCTTTCAGAATCAGTTGAGACATTGCCCTGAGCAGAGGTGGGGCAGAAGGCATTCCAGGCAGCAGGAATATCTTAAAATCCAGAGGGTGACATAATCAGATCGTTGTGTCACAGATCTTAGAGTTGTGATGCAGTTAAAGATACAGTGTGTGAGGGGAATTAGGTGTCAGGGGAGTTAGAAGTAGTTAAGGCAATAATGTCAGCAAGAATATGGCTTTGCTAAAGAAGAGTGACAAGCTCAGAAAACACGGAAAATTACTAGTGACACATTAGAAAATTCAAATTCACCGGATTAAGAATCATAACCTCATTGGGTAATGTGAATGAAAAGAATCAACAATGGTGCTCTAAAATTTATGCTTGATTTCCTGAGGATGAAATCAGGAGTATCAGGATGACAGATTTGCAGGAGAATTATAAAGTACTAGGTTTGGAAGCTTTGCCATGCAGAGTTTGTCATGTCTGTATGTCTTCTCAGAGAAATTAAAAATATCAGTTTGTAGGGCCAGCGCTGTGGTGCAGTGGGTTAACACCCTGACCTGAAGGGCCGGCATCCCACATGGGCGCTGGTTCGAGACCCAGCTGCTCCACTTCCAATTCCAGCTCTCTGCTATGGCCAGGGAAAGCAGTAGAAGATGGCACAACTCCTTGGGCCCCTGCACCCACATGGAGACCTGGAAGAAGCTCCTGGCTCCTGGCTTCGGGTCGGCGCAGCTTCAGCCGTTGTGGCCATCTAGGGAGTGAACCAGAGGATGGAAGTCCTCTCTCTCTGTCTCTACCTCTCTCTGTAATTCTGTATTTCAAATAAATAAAATAAATCTTTAAAAAAATATCAGTTGGTAGCTCAGGAATTGTAAATAGAATTAGAAATAAAAAGCAAATAAAGATGTTTGAAGGCTAAGAATGACCAAAAAGAGATTTAAGACTGAAATATTTTTGAAAAACCGAACTAGTATCTCATGGCTAATATGAGAAAAATTTCTAAAATCCCGTATCTTTTAGCTTTGTGTTTGAGGTTGAAGCCTCTTCTATTTCTGTGATGCCCCATTCCTTATCATAGTACCTAATAAGTAGTTGGTTACATTATTGAACACAAGAAAAATGTCAGCACATGAAAAATAGAAGCAATATTGCATGAGTTAGTAATTTCTAAATTTAAGAAGTGACTGTCTCCAAATTATTTCAAAGATAACATGAAAACATGTAAAAAACAGAAAGTAGAGTTAATCACATTGGTATTTTAGTGGGCTGATACACACATTATTTTTTAAGTAACTATTCAAATAGAACCTCCATAGGTAACTCTTCAATATTGACACATAATCGTCTGTGGTTAAATGTAGGTGTGTTAACATTTATTTTGAAATATCAGAACTTTTCTTGAAATTACTTTGTTGGCAAAACTTTGTGGTATTTGAAAGAAATCATTTTATGATACCGTGGTTAAGATGAATCCACCTTTGCTGCTTGCCTCTGAATATAAGGTATCTTGGTGATGTGTGCTATATTTTTATACTTAGTAAAGCACACTTGGTTTTCTGGTGTCCATCTTATTTAAGCATAGTCTGTCCTTCCCATCCAGGTTAACACAAAAACACAAGCCTTTATTCATGTTCAAAAAAAAGAATATTGTGGTCTTTATTGACCAAAAGGACAGTTTCTCTATAAGGGATCATATCTGTGATGGAAAAATTACAAATTGTCTACATTTTCAGTTGCTTTTATTAGGTTAAAAATTAATTCTATGTTACCTTTTAGTTCCCTAGCAACTTTAAAATAATGGCACAGGAAATCTTTTTTTCAAATGAGGATGTGCAACAAGAGATGGAATTGGGGATAATGTTCAATGTGGTGAGAATAGGATATTGGTTTTCCTTGCTTCTCACTCTCCTAAATTTCCTTTATGCCCTTTTATTTATATTCTAAGAAACTCTGATGTGACATCTATCTTTTTGTTTCCGAAAAGATGCAGAGGTAATGTTCTCAATGCAAAGAAGCTCAGATTCATACAAAGACAAATAAGAAGGTCCAGCAGGGGATGGGGTTATGCACAGCTTGCAATGCTGGCATCCCATATGGGCGCCCATTTGAGTCCTTGCTGCTCCATTTCTTTTTTTTAAATTTTATTTTTTATTATTATTTTTTGACAGGCAGAGTGGATAGTGAGCAAGAGAGACAGAGAGAAAGGTCTTCCTTTGCCGTTGGTTCACCCTCCAATGGCCGCCACGGCTGGCGCGCTGCGGCCGGCGCACTGCGCTGATCCGAAGGCAGGAGCCAGGTGCTTCTCCTGGTCTCCCATGGGGTGCAGGGCCCGAGCACTTGGGCCATCCTCCACTGCCTTCCCGGGCCACAGCAGAGAGCTGGCCTGGAAGAGGGGCAACCGGGACAGAATCCGGCGCCCCGACTGGGACTAGAACCCGGTGTGCCAGTGCCGCTAGGTGGAGGATTAGCCTATTGAGCCTCAGTGCCGTCCTGCTGCTCCATTTCTGATCCAGCTCCTGGCTAATGTGCCTGGGAAAGCAGAAGATGATCTAATTCTTTGGGCTTCTGCAACCACATAAGAGACCCAGATGGAGTTCTAGGCTTCTGACATTGGCCTGGCACAGCCCAGGATATTATGGCCATTTGAGAAGCCAACCAGAGGATGGAAGAGAATTCTCTCACCCTTGCTGTCACTCCCTCTCTCTCTGTAACTCTGCATTTCAAATGAATACTAAACATCTTTTTTAAAGAACCAGAAAATATGAAGCACCACACACATTTTTCAAATTCCTCTTAATTACCACTGGAACATTTTAACAGATATAGAGATAAACCATCCCAGAACATACTCATCACTTTTACACTCAGAAGAGGGAAAATGTTTTTTGTTTTGATACATTAGTAAATGAGAAATCACAGGAACAATTCAGAATACTTGGGATAGTTTACTTCTGTCTTTTTGTCTGAATGAGGAGTTAGAAAGAAGCAATTCCAAGGCCACAGTGAACACTGCCAGGTCTCACCTTGCTGCTGCTGTGCTTCTTTTTGCTCACGGAGGGTGACCCTGGCTGCCCAGGGCTGGGGACTGAACTAGATCCTGCTGACGTAGGACCCGAATGCACGTGAGATCCTTTTTCAACGACCGATGACAGAACCAGAGGTGACTGCTGTAGCGAAACCTTCTGGAGCTCTGCAGCCAGCTGCTTAGGATCAACTCCTGGGGATTTCGCTTTGTCCACTACAACAAGATGAATTGGATTCACACACGTCTCCGTTTCATTGGTGTTGGTACTGAATTTCATGGAACTTACCTAATATGACTTACTTATAAAACACTAACTTTAAAAATTAGATACATTTAATTGCACCTTTATATATTTTTTCTAAAGAAGTTCAGAAAGTTCAGACAAGAGTGACCCAATGCAGAATTACAAAAAACTGTTTTTCATGTTTTATATAGAGAATTGCAAGAATGAAATCCACTATCATCATCAGCTTTTCCTTCTCAAACTTTTACACATTTCTTTATCCAAGGGGGAAACTTAAAAGAGTATATTTGCATTTGCATATATAAATAAATTCTGTGTTTATAAGTATTTATAAATTAAACATATAGAAATATATATTTATAAATATAAAAACTTCCAATAGGACTTGGCATGTTTTGTTTTGCGCAGTAACTCCAATTCCCAGAATTGTGGCTGTAAGCACAGGAAATACTCAAGAGACTTAATAAACAATGGAAAAACTGATATTTTAAATCTTACAACTGATCTAACAGAAATGTAGATTATATTTGTTATTTAAGAAAGAGTTAGGTCTATTTCAGTTGGTTCTCATGAAATTACACTTTAATTTTTATTTGTTATAAGAAGGCAATTAAAAGGCTCAGGAATATGTGATTCAAAACCCAGTGATGCAAAAAAGAAACAAGTATTATTTAAATAAAAGTGATAGAATGTTCTAAAGAAATGGCTCCATGTATGTGTGTATATATATATATATATATATATATATTTAACCCCATCTCTGTTTATGTCTAGAGCTTTATCTACACCTACATCTATACCTAGTCCATTGGGACAGCGGACTGTTGCACCTACCAGCTTTTGGTGGCTCATGAAGCTCCAGGTGCTGAGGATTTTCTGAATCTGATAGCATATTGAGGTCCCTAAAAATTAAAACAAAACATTAAAAAAGAGATTGAAGAAGCTTGATACGAAAGGCACTTTTTTCCAACTACCCTGAATTTTTTTCAGTAGATAAATGAGAAGTGGTTAATGATATAAAGCAACTCCAAAGCATGCTCACCCTTCTAGCCCAATATATATTTGCAATGCTGTTGAAAGTCAGAGCTGATAAAAATGATTATTTAAGGTGAAATCTTTATGGATTAAATGTAAGTTCATTTTGAAATACTATATGCCTCCACGAACTCTAAATGTGTTTAGGCTTTCATTTAAATGAAGTATGTTTCAATAAAAGCATGACAGGGGAGAGCTATTGACATAATCAGAAACTAAATTAGCTGAATTCTGTCTACCCTGTAGGCTTTGATTCTGAACACAAGAAATCTATAAAACTTGTATTCACTTCATTTTCTAATTACAGAAAATCTTGCTGACTGGCAAAGGTTCCACCTTAACAATTTTAAATTAAAAGAGCCATGAATAGCCAAAAAATGGAAACAGAAAGATGGGGAAAAACTCACAGTCTTACACATATTTCTGCTTCCCCACTTTGCTGACTAATGATACTCTGCACTTCTTCATATGTTTTAGAAGTTAAAGGAATTCCATTCCATTCCAATACTTGCATCCCTAAAAAGACAAATTTGAGTATAAAATCAAACACGTGTACTCTCTCTAGCTTGGGCCCATAGGGCATACAAGACATTTCTTTGCATTTAAAAATCAACTCAGCACACCATTTCAGAGGACAAGAGTTCAAAAACTGCTGGAACATGAAAATCAAAACCATTTCGTAGTTTGAGCTCCTCAACTTACCTGAACACATAGAATAAATTTAAAACATAAAAAATTCTGCTTTTGAAACTATTTAAATATTATCAAACACATGCATTATTCTGTTCACACTGTTAGAAAGAAAATATTACTGAATATACATGGCTCAGATTAAGTGTTTCAAGGGAAAAAAGAAACATCAAGCAGTTAGAACCACCAAAAATATTCTGCTGTAGGGAGCAAAGTATGAGTGTGAACTTCTGGATCCTAACATGGAATGGGAGTGATAGAAAGTCTACACAACTTCCTTGCGAAGCTCACCTCCAGAATTGTGGTGCCTTCAACTTTGCCCAGATAAAACAGGTGGCCACATCGTGTCTTTCCCTTACAGTAAGTGCCAGACAGTCCTGAGCAGAACGTTTGTGCTCTCACAGTAGTAGTAGTATAGGGCCTTATGCTCACAAAGGCCTCATGCATGGTATCATGTTCTGCTGTGGTTATTTGGAAATTCTTAATAATGTTTGAACAAAGAAACTACATTTTCAAGTAACACTGGGCCCTGCAAACTATGTAGCTGGCCTAACCTAGCCAGGGTATTTCATTTCTCTGCTCCATTTAGAAAGGTAATTTCATACAAAAGAAGAAAAGTAGTAATATCATTGATATTTCAACATTTCACATGTAGTTTCTTTGGTCCATTTTAAATGCACAAAACTAATTTAGGGGTATGTAAAACCTCTAATGTCTGTATGCTGTAACTCTGCTATAATTTACATCAAAGGAAATGATTTTGAGCAATGAGGTTGTTAATGAGCTTCACAGAAGACTACATGAAATTCCCTTCTGTGCATCCCTGGCTTCATTGGGGAATTCTACTCATGCTCTGTACCTTTAAAGGTTTTGATGGCTACAATGCAGTTTGGGAAGTATATGATTAGTGTCAATCGACAAAGGGAAATGCTTTTACACTAGAGTAAAATGGCAACAGAAGACCATAAAGAAGGCGCACAGTAACACAAACAAGATGACTTTCTGTAACTTACTCCAAGAAAACTTTACCTTCAGAGGGGCCTTAGGTTTATTTCAACAATCCCAAGCTGTTGTACACATAAAATGAGAAAATTATATAAATAACAGTGAAAACACTGCTAAAGAAAAAATATGGCACACTGAAAGAGGAAAACAAAGCATTTTTTTTCAGTCAGGAAGGTACATTTATGAGCAAATGATTTTGAATGGAAACCAATTAATGCTGTTGTAATTCAGAAATTGCATTGTCACATTTCTGCAGATGCATATTCTATTGAAAGAATGGTCACATAGTTCATGCATTTCCTGATAGATTTACCTGTTCATTTTTAATATCTCAAAATAAGGGAGCACATTTATAAATCATAATTATCAATGAAATGAGAAGGGCTTCTAGATGTAAAAAGAAAAAATATTTAGTACTGTTACTAAATTTGTTGAAAAATTATTTCAAGGGCCAATGCTGTGGGCACAGAGGATTAAAGCTCTGGCCTGCCGTGCTGGCATCCCATATGGGCACTGGTTCAAGTCTCAGTTACTCCACTTCCAATTCAGCTCTCTGCTAATGTGCCTGGAAAAGCAGTGGAGGATGGCCCAAGTACAGGGGCCCCTACACCCACGTGGGAGAACTGGAAGAAGCTCCTGGCTCCTGGCTTCAGATTGGCTCAGCTCCAACTGTTGCAGACATTTGGAGAGTGAACCAGACCTCTCTCTCTCTCTGTCTCTCTTTCTGTAACTCTCTGTAACTCTTTCAAATAAAATAAAATAAATCTTTTTTTAAAAAAAGGAAAATTATTCCAGTAATAGGGGATTTATGGATATAAACCTGAGATCAGTCCTTACATGATCTTCTCTGTCCCCCACTAACCTGGACCACAGATGGAGCTGAGCTGCAGTGCAAAACATTCAGCCCATTATTTTATCTTGGCTTGGTGCCCATGGTAAGATACCACTAGGAAAATGACTAAATGAACACTCAACATTTAACAATTTTTCCCTTTCTATTGTCTAACTTCCTACAAACCCCACAAGAACCTTGCATAATAATAAAGAATGGAATATACAGGTCACTGCTCATTTATTTCATAAGATGGCTTTGGCAATTATGAGAAAGAAAATGAGGTTATTCAAATATCAGATATTTGACATATATTCATGAATCGTTAATCCTGTAACTATTTAAAATGCGTGTTAAATTTGTCAAGCATTATTATGCTTTGTTGAAATTCGAATAAAACAGTATTTTACCATTTAATGTAAGAAATTTCAATCGTAAGAAAGCTTTTAGCTGTGATTGTGTTTGAAAAAGATTTCCTGGAAGGCAGTATACACATAAATGATGACATTATTTAGTATTCTGATTGGACATTTATATTATCGTTATATTTAAATCTAACATGATGTATGTTAAATGATTTTTTTAAGTCTTAGAGTACACAGATAATAGAATTATATACCTAGAAAGCACCTGTCCTAATAGCTTGAGACATAAGCTGAATTTTTGCTGCATGTGCAACTGTGGTGATAGATTTATTGTTCAAAATATCAAACTTAGTAAGTTACTAAACATGAAAAAAGATAATAATCAGACAATTATGGGCCTTCAAAAAATCAATCAACAGAAAATATTCTCAAGTACACATTTTCATAAATTCTAGGATCACTTAATCTTGTACGCTCCTCAAACTGGCAAAAGCTATTCTTAATCCTTATAATATAAATGTTCATACTATGTTACTTCTTGATCTATGCTTAGTATTTGCTATTACGTAAAAAGTATCTTGTTGATTAAAAATTTTCAGTTAACAGTCAAAATCTTAACTAGTTTTTGGATATCATAACATATCACAAAGACACTTATACTTTCACATATTTGATTTATTTCACATGTACTTTCCTAGCACCTTGTATGTGGCAGACACAAAATTCACCACCTCCACTTATATTTTCTGTTGTCATAAATATTAATAAAAGTTATACTCTACTAGAAAAAAGTAGGAATATCTTGACAATTAGTAAAATAATGGCAGTTCAGAGAAGGAAATCCCAAAGTGTGGCAAGTATGTGAAAAAAAATCCTAGATTTATTAGTGATTAAGAAGTGCATAGTAAAGCTAAGAAGTGCAGAGTAAAGCGATAATGACATACTGCCTAATTCCTATCATACTGGGTGATATTTGAAAACCAGACAATGACTGTGCTGGGTGGGATGAGGGGTGAGGCCTCCCTGCCTTCATCCAGGGAGGTTTGCCTTGATACACTGTTGCTCTGGTTAATTCCCACTTTATGATGTGAGGATAGCATGAGTGGGACAGGAAGAAAAGGGAAACATTTTTTTATTAGAATGCAGATGAGTGCAATTCTTCCCTAAGGCTATCTGACAGAATACAGTTAAACTAAGAAGTCCTTTGCTTGGGTATGCATTTGTGGGGAGGCTGAGGTACCTGAAGAAATGGACACTGTGAGAGCAGAAAATACTCAGGAAAGAAATCCTTGGCAGAGGCTGAAGAAAAGCAGTTGTACCAGGAGCGAACCCTAGAAGGTGGATCCCTCTCTTAACATCCTTGCTAGTAAAAACAAGAGGGAAACAGGATCTCATCTACAGGGCAATGTTATTTATGTAGATTTAAGTGATATGCACTGAGGGAGGGAGGCTTGGGATATTCTTAGAATTCTACCTACAAACTATATTGAACCTGTTAAAAATTAATTAAAATGTACTAAAAAAATTTAAAAATAAAATACTAAAGTATAAAAGAAAATAAATTATATGCACACAAAATGGCATTATAAATTTTATAAACAAATGGCAGGCATCATATAAATTATAATAGTTTCCCAAAACGGGGAATAGTTGCCCACAGAAACAAAATACAAGGAAATAAATGTTAATCAGTGGGTGAATAAATGAAAATAACACACACATAGGAAAGGTCTAATGAGAATCTGATGCAAACGAGGTTCAAAAAACAAAAGGAAGTCTCATGTAAAGAATACTGTATATGTGCAAAAGTTATTTTTAATGTTTTGCATCTTTTCCAGACTAATATTATTAAATATGACTACATACTAATTTTCTTTCTTTTATTTTTTTTTATTTTATTTTTTGACAGGCAGAGTGGACAGTGAGAGAGAGAGACACAGAGAGAAAGGTCTTCCTTTTGCCGTTGGTTCACCCTCCAATGGCCACACACAGCGGGTACGCTGTGGTCAGCGCATGGCGCTGATCTGAAGCCAGGAGCCAGGTGCTTCTCCTGGTCTCTGGTGCAGGTGCAGGGCCCAAGGACTTGGGCCATCCTCCACTGCACTCCTGGGCCACAGCAGAGAGCTTGCCTGGAAGAGGGGCAACCAGGACAGAACCCGGCGCCCCGACTGGGACTAGAACCCGGTGTGCCGGCGCCACAGGTGGAGGTTTAGCCTATGGAGCCGCGGCGCCGGCTACATATTAATTTTCTACATGTGCACAACCACTCTCAGGAATGTTCCATGAAGCAGCAGCAGTAGGAATAAATTAGGTAAACTGGCTATTTTTCCCTAGTGACCAATAGATAAACCACCAATGCAAGTGGACTTTTGAGCACCCAGGACACTGCTCACATCAGTTATACTCTTTCATTCTTATGTTAGGCAGTATCAATTCATGAGAAATCCAAGATAGGTAGATTCGATTCTTTTTGAAAAATACATTTAAGCTTTGCACAGTGGCAGTATCATAGCCAATGAGGCTTATTTGAGGCGCAATCATTGCTAATTAAAAAAAACATTTAAAAACACTTCGTAATTTTGACCTATTTGTACATTAACATGAAAAGATAAAAAGGAAAAAGG